TGGTAGGGTAGAGGGACAGCACAGGATGGGAAGACCCTCTATGAGGTGGATTGATTCAGTGACTGGGGTAATCGGGATGGGTGTGTCAGAGGTAGTGCAATTGGCACAGGATAGAGCAGGGTTTAGAGCTGTTGTACATAGGGTCGCTATGAGTCGCAAACAACTCGATGGCACATAAGAACAACAGCAACAACAACATTATTAGCGTATAGGCCACTAGTGATAAAGAAAACTGAGAATTCTCAGTCATACACAGACATGAAAAAGAAAGGGTAGTAAGGACATTAGATGCTGAATTAAGTTCTGAGTTTGCAACAGTGGTTGGAGGTAAAGAAGGACATGAATCCCAGAATGTAAAGAGGAAGTTCTAAAGGTCCTCACCCTTCAAAGCTGCCAGTTTTCTTGATTATAAGGCAGAAATGCTCCTTTTTTCTTCTTCCCAGAGCCTTAGGATGGGCCAGCTTGTCTTTCTCAACCCAGTGGGCCTCCCTTGCTTTCTGCCACTTAGCACAGGAAACAGAGCTGAACGGTTCATCTGCACATAGAACCTGGGAGGCTTGGGTGTGCAAATGAAGATATTCTGCCTTAGCCCTGCAGAAGGGCAAGCCTTAGAAATAAGACAGGTAAGAAAGAGCTGGATGACTCTTTGCGTATGAGTCGTGGATGTAGAGTAAGGAAAAGAACATGAGTCTGAACATGATTATGTTCTAGGTCTGCCTCAATGAGGATTAAAATCCCAACAAAGCAAAAAAGAAAAAAGGACAGAATCTCATTGACTTCAAGGTAGAACTCACGCATACCTGATCCTGCCCTAGGGTTTCAGAGGGTATAAATCGCACCACAGGTGATTTTTCATCTTTCTTCTTTGGGGCATTTGTTGGATTCAAACTGCCTCCTTTTGATTTATCAGTGCAACTCCTTGTCCACTAGGTCTGCAGAACTGCCTTATCTAGAATTGCTGTCTGCTAAAAAGGGAAGTAAATAATGAAGACACAATCATTTCCTTGCAGTTAAGACACATTTATTGAGGTTCTTGATGTTAAGAAAAGATGATCCAACATAGAGGGCCTCAGGGTGATTCTTCCAGTTGGAGGCCTTTTATTGTTTTCTTTATCCACCGTAAGAATCTGGAGATTTTGGTGAAGACATTTGGAGGAGTTCCTTCTTCACTTCCATAGGAGACTACACCCTGAGCAACATTTCTGCATACCAAGGGGCCTCCAGAGTCTCCCTGGGAACAGAGAGGAAAGGCTGAGTTAATTATTCTGTTGGTCCTTCCTCCCTCTACATTCTGGGAGAAAACTTCCCCAATGGGGTAAAAAGAGGGGAGTTATAGGCCTCACTGGAAACCCCCAGGGTGACAAAATCTGCTGCTTGACATCATAATTGTTTCATACCTAGGTTGTGATCTATCTCCTTCCCTAACTTCAGGACTCTTGCCTTCTAAGGAGCTGTGGAACTTTGCTTCCAGGCTATTGTTTAAGGAAAGGCAGATGTTTGATGGAAGACAGTACGTTGACCAGGGTGATGCCAGCTCTTGAGTATTTACATGGTTTTGATTGTTCAACATGGAGGGAGAGCTTGGATGTGTGCTGTAGGTGTGTGGAGCAATCCTCTCTACTCTTCCCCCACATTAATTAAAAAAAAAAAAAATCAAACCAATTCTCTACATCTCAGTTCATAGTAATCCTAAATGTTATAAAGTCCAACTGCTCATTGGATTTTCTTCCCTATAAAGTTTATGGAATACCTTTACAAAGGTTCAAACCACAAATCTTAAGGTAGAAGCTGAATGGAAACTCTTTGATCCTTAGGGATGTCTCAGTGGCATGTTATTGTTGTTGTCTTGCTGTCAAAGCTGAACTGACCCGTAACTGATCCTCCAGTGAGATTTTAGAGATGATCAATTGCACAGGAGGAGATTGCCCTGCTTTCCCTGAGGGGCGCCTTTGGGATTACAGTGACATTTATTATCACTATCGCTTTGGGATGGAATAAGGAGTCACAAATTCATCTTTCTGGAGGAACACATTTCTGAATTACCCCTGGGAAGCTCCCAGAGGCCCGAGTAACTTCGTAGTTTGGTACTCTTGTTATCACAGAAAAGTGGGTGAAGGCATTCTCCCTATTGCTAGTTAGGACCTTTACATCCCAGGTCATCCTGAAACAGCCTTCTTCCCCGAGCAACGCCAGGCTGATGCTAAATCTCACCTTAAAGGAAGACATCTGTTTCTGAGGGTCTCCCACGCACAGCTGAGATGTCCTCTCATAATTCTGGAAGTGGTACTCACACTGGAAGTGCTCTTGAATGATAAGATCCACCTCATGCAGCTTGCTTGTTGTTTTATTATTATACATCAGTCCCCAGCCAGCCACACTGCACACCTGCCTGGGCCTCACCTGGTCACTATCACCAGGCAGGGGGAGTAGGCCCACAGCTGCAGTCAATTGGGCCTTTGTCTTCAGCTGATGAAGAAAACAACAAAGTCTGGTCACTCAGAGCCTGTTGCCCTCCAGACCCAGATGGGTTGCACTTTATCCTTTCTTCCTCCAGGGTCTGGGATTAATGAAGCAGCCAGGATGAGAAAGGCAGGGGTCCTGGTGGAAGGAGAAATTTCTTGAACCCATGGGATCAGGAGCAGCAGGGAATGTTCCTCACCTGTAGTATCATGATGTCATTTATATACGTCATATTGTTATACTTAGGGTGGGGGATGGCTTTTTTCACACGAATTTTCTGCCATGTCTTTTCTTGTAATCCAATATCATGGGCCCCCAAAATGACATTCATGCGGCTGTACAGAGAGAAAAGAAGAGGTTCTCACAACTGGAGCCCTAAAGCAGGCGACAGTTGGGGAGGGGAGGGTGGCTGCTGAGGGAAATGCTGGAGGGAGGGGCCCTTCATTTGAACTTGCTGAACCTTTGGTTTCCCAGCAGCATTGTAGGTGGTTGTGGAATTCTCTTTTGCCCTCAGATCATATGAAATGGCTTGACCATACCTGCTCTCAACATCCACTGTCTGCCTGAAATAGCCAGTGTGGTCCTTCCTTAAGCTCTTCTACTTGCCTCGTTCTCTGACCTCCTGGGTTACATGTTGACTCACTTTTCACCATCTCATCCCACTCTCAAATGGTTCTGATGATGAGAACTCTTGGGCCTGAGTCACACCCAGATGAAGTAGCTTCTCTGAATGGTAGGAAGGTGAAGATACCTTGCAGGTTCTACCCCTCACCTTCCCCAGCAGTGAGCTGCTGTCAGAACAAAATCTTCTTCCACAAGGAAACCACCACACCTTTGCCACTTGCCATCCTGAAGGAGCTTCACAAGGGCCATGTATGGACGTGAATGAGGCTGTGCTTCATGACCTCCAATGATCTCCTCTGGGGGAAAAAATATGGAAGATAGGAGGAGCGGGCATCCTACCTTATGATTAAAGATAGGATCAGGTTTGCCTTGTAGTTGTTGGGACAAGTTGCCCTGGATTCTCCTGAATACAATCCTTACTAGCTTGATAACCTGCCCTTCCCTTCAAGTCTCAATGGCCCCTTCTAAATGATTACAGTGCTTTTTCAGGACATCTCATATTAGACACATGGATTGTGGGGACACAGCATGTCTTCAAATTGGCAAAACCCCAAAGAATCATAGAGAACAATCCCTGCTTTCCTGATTCACCCCAGTTCAGCTCCTACAAACCTGAGTGATTCCCCAGCTTGGCTATTCCAGTCCTGTTATTCCAGCAAAGCAAATGAAGGAATTCTCCTATTGCTAGCAAGAGCCTTCAGATCCCAGAAATTCTGGAAACATCCTTGTCCCCAGAGCCAGGGCAGGCTAGTGTTAAATCTCACCTTCAAGGAAGCCATCTTTTTCTTCAGGTTCACGATGCACAACTGAAAGGCATTACTGTAATTCTTGAGTCAGGGCAGGGCTGGTGCTGAGGGGAAATGCTGGAAGGAGGGGGCCCTTGAGCTTGACCTTTGAATTCTCAAGAAGAGCATTGAAGGTAAGCAGTTGTGGGATTCCCTTTAGACCTCAGTTCATATGAAACGAATTGATCCATACTTGCTCTCACCCTCCACTGTCTGCCTAAAACATCCAGTGTGGTACCTCTCTGAACTTTCTCACTTGCTCAACCTCTGCCTTCATAAGCTACGTGTTGACCTTCTTTTCACCACCTCATCCTGCTCACTAATGGTTCCTCTGATGAGACCCCTGGGGCCTGTGTTATAGACAGCTACAGGATCTCCCCTGAGGAGCAAATATGGAAATATAAATCCTTGTAACATCTGTGCCTCATCTTCACCTGCTGTCAGGACAAATCTTTTCACACAAATATTTCACCATAACTCTTCTTGATTTCTCAGTGAAATGAAAAATTGCCATGTAAGGATGTGAATGGGGCTTTGTTACATAACCTCCAATGATCTTAACGAAAAAGATGATAATGTGACTCTGGCATCCTACTTTATGATTGATGAACTGGTCATCGTTGACCTGGAGATGCTGGGACGGATAGTTCATGGTTCTCCTGAAAGATGGGTTTCTGGCACAGTGAAACATTCCCACCTTCAAATCTCAGACAGTCTATTTTAAAAGCTAACAGTGCTTGTTCTGGACAGTTCATATTAGGCTCATCGATAGAGGGTTGCATATGTTATCTTTAAGATGGAAAAGTCATCTTAAAACATCCTGGATAAATATCCTAAGATTATTCTGTGTTTTTTTCCCAGACCTGTCTGAGCCTATACTAAGTTTGTCATATTTTCTAATAATATACCCTTATGTTTATAGAGTTAGAATTTTAGAAAAGTCTTAGGCTTTTCAGAGCCTATTACATCTTGGAACTTCAGTAAATCTTTTTATGATTGTATCTTCGAACTGCTCCCAATAAGCCTTTGGATGAGGCTTGGTATGGATTTTACTGGGGCAGTAAAAGGCAAAGGACTGTCAGGAATTTTGAAAACAAAGACAGTGAGGTAACCAAATCTTGGGGAGTCAGAGGAGGCAGAAAAGCTAACTAGAAATAGACTGTAAAGGAGTTTAGACAATATAAATTCTTTGAGATAAATTTCAACTTGAATTTCTCTCCTAGTCAGGATTGAGTACTGAACCTGGAGAAGGAAGTCAAAGACAATGACATGATTTTGACACCACTACTCTAATAGCACAAATGTTGTTGTTGTTGATTATTGGCTTTGAGTTGAGCATGCCTCATACTGACTTCATGAACAAAAGGCCTGAAGACCCTCTATAACTATCAACATTTATGAAAGCTTATAGAGTTACCAGATTCATGTTATTTAATGTTGTTATATGCCATTGAGTCAGCTGCGATATATAGCAACCCTATATTCAGCAGCTCTGAACATTTCCCTGTCCTAAGCCACTCTCACATCACAAATTCTTACACACTAATCCCCATTGCCCCAGTTACTATATAAATCCATCCCATCCAGAGGGATCTCCCTCACCAATGCTCACTGTCTACCCTTCTGAGAATGATGTTCTTCTCCAAGGACCCATCTCTCATGGCCACATGCCCAAAGTGATACTTGCTTTCACCCTCTCCAATGCAGACCTATTTGTTTTCTTGGCAGTCTGTGGGACGTTAAAGACTCTTCTCAGAACGACAGCTTGAGGGCATCTATTCTTTTTCTGTCATTCTTCGTAATTGTCCAGCTCTCAGAATCATAACAAGTAAATGAGAACACCATGACCTGGATTAGGTTCACCTTTGTATCTCCACTGAAATCACTGCACTTCAGCATTCTGGAGAGGTCCATGATAGCAGATTTTCCCAAAGCAATTTGTCTTTTGATTTCCTAACTTCTGGTGTGAAGAGTTTTGATTGTGGATCCAAGCATGCTGTAACTGCTAACAACCTCAATCTCTTCTCAATCTAATGTGATGAGGCCTATTGGCCTAGTGGTGAGAATCTTTGTCTTCTTGATGTTCAGCTTCAAGCCATATTGAAGACTACAGTCCTTGACCTTTTGCAGCCAGTGCTTCAGGTCTACTTCAGTTTCAACAACAAGTTTGCATCATCTGCATATTGTAGGTTGTTAATGAGTCTTCCTCCAATCTTGATGCCATACTCCTCCTCATAAAGTGCTATTTGTATTTTATTGATTATAGAAAAGCATTTAACAGTCTGATTTGACGAATTAAGACTAATATCAGAGAATAAGAATTCCAGAATACTTATAAATTTGCTCATATTAAACCTATACCTAGACCAAGAAGCTGTTGTTCAATTGGAGGAAGGAAACAGTGAATGGTATATATACGAGAGGTGTGCGTCAGGATTGTATGCTTTCTTCATATCTATTCAATACGTAAGCTAAACAAATCATTCCAAAAGATGGACTCTATGAAGAATAATGGGAGATCAGAATTGGAGGAAGATTCATCAACAACCTCTGCTACATAGATGCACAACCTTGCTTGCGAAAAGAAAGGAGGACCTGAACCACTTGGTGAAGAAGATCAAAGACCACAGACTTAAATATGGGTTGTATTTCAGCATCATAGGACAAAATTCCTAACCACCAAACCAAGACTCAACAATGATAGATGGAGAAAGATTGAAGTGGTCAATTATTTTATCTTACTTGGATCACCATCATCATCCTTGTTACCAGCAAGAAGGAGATCAGAAGATATTATATTGGACAAGGTGGCTGTCAGAGATCTGTTTAAATTACTAAGGAGCAAGGATGTCTGTTTGAAGAATAAGCTGGGCCTGATTCAGGCCATGATCTTTCAAATCACGTGCTATGCATCCGAAAACTGGACAATCAATGAGGATGACAGAAGAATAATTAATATCTCTGAACTGTAATGTTGGAGAAGAGTGTTGAAGTTTTGGGCTGCCAAAAGATTCAACAGATGTGCCTCGGATAAAGTGAAAATATAGTGAACACTGGAAGCAAGGGAACAAAGCTTCATCTCACACAATTTGGGCATGTTTCCAGGAAAGGCTATTTAAAGGAGAGGGACATCAGATTATGTTGATGGCACAGGATAGGTAAGGGGTCCAAACTATTATTCATAGGGTTGCTATGAATGATATTTACTTGGAGGCACCTAACAACAGCACTGCAATAAGATCAACAGCCTAACTATGCACATCTCTGGATCCACAGAGTGGAAGGAGTTGTGCTGCTAACCCTGAGGCTCCACATCCCTGGCCATTCAAATCCATCAGAGTCTCCTTGGGAGAAAGATGGGGTGATCTCTTCCCATGCAATTTACAGCATTGAAACCTTCCTGGAGGATCGGGTAGGAGTTGGTTTCAACTCCACAGCAAACACTTCAGCTTTGACTCTAATAATAAGATTAAGCATGACAGCAATTGTAAGGATAGCATAGGACCTGGAGGTGTTTCCTTTTATTGTGCATTGCACAACAAACTCAACTATATCTAAAATGACAGCAGTACCCAAATCTTTGTGTTTAAGCTTCATTTTCCTGGGATAGGAGAGTGGGTAAGAAGTTGGGCTATCAACCCAGATACCCTCTGTTTGAACCCACAAGCTGCTCCAAAGAAGAAAGATGGGGAAACTCGTCCTGTGCAATTTATAGGCTCTGAAAACCTGGTGGAGAGTAAATAATGAATTGGTCTGACTTATTAGCAATGAATTGTTTTTTAGCTTCTTGGAATGCAAAAGGGATTTTAGTTACTTACCTTCATATCTTCTGCCAAATGTCTTTGTAAAAATAATCTATTTCCCAGGGAATCAGGGGAAGCTACCACCTCGTAAGCCTTTAAGTGGTCCCAGTACTATTGTGATTTCACCTAAACTGGGGAAATTTGACAAAAACCCAGGATAGTCTAACACCTAAGACAGTGTCCAGGGTGTCAAGTCATCCTTCTGGAACATCTATCCAAAATGAGACTGCTTATTCTGGATTACATGGAAGGAATTCCTTACTAGCACTGGACAGAAGGACCAGGAGTATAAGTGATTCAAGGAAATAGGCTCAGGTTCCTAGGATGCAGAGGGTCACTCACCTGCTATAGTTCCAGGAAGCAGGTGAAAGGCCAACAGGAGCAGGAGTGGCTGCATCTTCTGAGAAAAGCCACCCAGGCTTACGGTGATGATGTCTGGACCCAAAATAACCACAGTGCAAAGAAGAGGGTCACACCCTGTTACTTTTTATCACACACATACAAATGTGATAGGCTCATTTGGCTGGGTGTCATCACGCTAGTTGGTGTGCAGAATTTTTTTGGTTAAGTTAGATGAGAATCACACTGTCACCACATTTTTAATCATAGCTGATGATCCCCAAGCAGAAAATACAAAATAAATGGCTAGAAGATGAAGGTTGCTGAGACTGTGTCACCATCCATTAGAGCTTTTACAATAGAAGCCTGGATCCTTTAGTGACTGAACTAAAAATTTTCTCCTCCTCTGCCTCTTTTTCTTTTTTTTAAATAAAATTGTTATTTTATATTGGTTTTTCTTACAAAGTTTGTATACATTATTTTTGACACTTGATGGTTCCCATTTCCTTTACCTACTCCACCTTCTACTCATCAAATTTTGTGACCCTATGAGCTGTGGTGATTTAGAAGATTATTGAATATTCCAATGTTTGCTAGGAGAACAAACAGGTTCCTCCTAGAGAAGGTGTGACCAGGCTGCCTCTTGAAGGCAAGGATTCTGAAACTTTATCTGATATACTTTGGACATGTTGCATGGAAGGACCAATCCTTGGAAAGGGATGTCACGCCTGGGATGGTGGAGGGACAGCTCAACAGAGGAAGACCCTTGATTAGATGGATTGATTCATGACTCGGGTAATGGGGTTGGGTGTGTCAATGACAATAAGATTGGCACAGGATAGAGCAGGATTTAGGGCTGTTGTACTTAAGGTCTCTATGAGTTGCAGGAGACCCGAAAACACAAAACAACAACAACTACAACATCAGCAACATAATTATTCCTTCCCGCCCTTGGATACTCATACACATTTTACTAGTTATCTTTCTATTACTACAATAATTATTATGCAGTATCCGTCCTTATGGAACTGAGTTCACTTAGCGTAATACAGTCCAGTTCTTCCCAAGTTAGGTAGTGATTTTCAAAATCATTGGTCCTGCGTGCTGTGTAGTATTTCATCGTGTGAATCTACCATAATTACTTACCCCATTCCATTGTACTTGGACATTTGGGCTGCTTCCATGATCTTTCTATTTTGAATAATGCTGCTATGAACGTTGGTGTACAAGTTTCCATTTGTGTCTCCGTTCTCATTTTCTCAGGGTATTATCCAAGCCATGGAATACCTGAGTTATAAGGAATTTCCAATGTTCAGCATCCCCCCTCCCCCACTGGTTTATTTACAAAACTCAAATACAAATTCAAACAAATTTTTGAGTTTCCATCACCACGCGCACACATCAAATTGTATAACCCAATGATTAATCCCTCCCCTGTCCCCGTCCCCCATCCCCATCCCTTGGCTCCCAGCCACTCCCACAAAAAAAAAACGTTTTATACAATATTAATTCTGTGGGACTGAGTTAGTTCACTCTGCATAATGCTCTCTAGTCTTTTCCAAGTTAGGTAATTATTTACAAAGTTATTGTGCTGCATGATGCAATAGTATTCCATTCTATGAATGTACCATAATTTCTCAATCCACTGGTTTGCGGTTGGACATTTGGGCTGTTTCCATGTTATTTCTATGTTGAATAAAGCTGCCATGAACATTGGTTTACGAATCTCAGTTTGTGCCTCAATTTCATATTGTCAGGGTATGTTCCAAGTAGTGGAATAGCTGTGTCATATGGAATTTCTGTGTTTGGCTTTTTGAGGAAGGGACAAACTGCCTTCCAAAGTGGTTGCACCATTTTACAATCCCACCAACAATGTATAAGCGTTCCTTTCTCACCACATCCTCTCCAACAACTATTACTTGCTGCCCTGGTAAACTTTGCCACTGTTACTGAAGTGAGACGGTACCTCATTGTGGTTTTGATTTGTATCTCTCTAATTGCCAGTGATTTGGAACATTTCTTCCTGTGTCTGTTTGCCATTAGAATATCTTCCTCTATGAAAAGGCCTTCCATGTCTTTTGCCCATTTTGTAATTGGGTTATCAGTCTTTTTCTTGTGGAAGTCCAGGAGTATATTGTAACCTTTTGTTATAAGACTCTTGTCTGAGATGGTATTACCAAAAGTTTTTCCCAGGTTTTCTTTCCACCCTGTTAGAAAAAGTATTAGACGTGCATAGAGATTTAATCTTTAGAAGGTCTCATGTATCATTTTTATCCTCTTTAGATTGTGCATTTTCCTCTACAATATTTATTATTTGTTGCACTACTAAATTTTGCCATTTATACATCATTTCTACTGGACTGAGATGGTCTCTTACTGTGGTTTTTATCTACATCTCTCTTATTGCCAGTGATTTTGAGCATTTTTTATGTTATCTGTTAGCCACCAGAATATCTTCCTCTGTGAAAATTCTTTCCATGTCTTTTGCCCATTTTGTAATTGTATTATCAGATTTTTTTCTTGTGGCGCCCATGTAGGGTCTGTAAACTTTTTAATGAGACTAGTCTAAATGGTATAGTCAAATGTTCTGATTTTTTCCCCCCAGTCTGTAGGTTTTCTTTATAGTCTGTTTAAAAAAAGTTTTGATGTGCACAGGGACTTTAATCTTTAGAAGGTCCTATTCATCTGTTTTATCCTATCTAAATTATGCATTTCTGCCTGTATCTGGCAGTCTCTTTATACCATAGACTAGACCATCTAAACTTGATTCTAGTTTGTCTCTGACGATCTTTATGGTTTTGGGCTTTACTCCCAGGTTTCTGATCCTACTTCAGTTGATTTTTGCGTATTTTGTGAGATGTGCATCCTGTTTCAGTTTTCTGCAGACAATAGTCCAATTTTGATAGCACCGTATCTTGAAGAGGTTTTCATTTCCCCATTTGTTGTTTTATTTCATTGTTGAATATCAGTTGACCATAGATAGATGAGTCCATTTCTGAGTTCTCCATTTCATTTCATTATTCTATGTGCCTCTCGTAGTACTACTATGACACTGTCATTGTACCAGTACCACACTATTTTGGTTACTATCGAGGCGTCTTCCAGGTAAAAACCAGCAAAACCTGGCCAGAGAGGGAGGACAGGAGGCAGCACTAGGCAAGGTCACCTCGGATAACAGCAAAAATAGGCGTCTTCCAGGTAAAAACCAACAAAACCCGGCGGGACATAATCTACACAGGAGTTCTACAGGACACGTCAACTTCCCTTGGAGACAGTACAACTAAACTTAAGAGACAATGGTCAAAAGAAAAATGTCAGTAGTCTGACGTTTTTGGAATCACAGAAGCCAAGAAAGCTTAAGATACAAGCTGTAAGATCATGGGTTGGACAATGGAAGATATTTTCTGAAGAGACTTGGCAGATGAGAAGGGTTATCCTGGTGGAGGGTGGAGGGTGGAGCTGGGAAGTAAGTGGGTCAAGGCTCTGGGCTAAGGGTGGGGTCAACACTGTAACTAATGCTTAACTCCACAATAAGGGATTTATCTT